GTCCTTTGTGTTTTTTGTGAATTCTTGAAATGTAAAAAGTTTGTCCGAAAATAACTACCTTTGTTCTACCTTCTGTCTGTATAGCTTGTCCGGGAAACATTAACCTTTTTTCCATATATAAATAGACTTTCTATCTCCAAAAATTCAAAATCAACTCGTAGTAATATCATTTGCATTGTTTACATTTGATTTGACTTCAGTATATACTCTTTTCATATTAAATATACTTAAGCACACCAATACATTTTGAAACTGATCCTGAATTTACATGCTATTCAAAATAGCTTGGTCACTGTGGGGATTGATGATTTGAGAGAATATAGTAATGGCGGTGTAAAAAGTCGTATTGGCTTTGCGTTTGCAATATGAATCTTTTCCCTGGCTATGTAGAATTCCATGTTACATTTGCTTTCCTAAATTGTGACTACACAATGACACAAGTCAACAGTGAAAGAAATTGTTTTCATGTCAGACATACATCCTTTGTTCTCTTTTAGTTTCTCGTGATTCTTTGGGGCATTTCCCTCATCTTCTATTTGAAGTTGTTTGATGATGGTGGAGAAGCTTCTGAATCTTCGTTTATAAAGATGCGATCAAATATGCATGCTTTTAGTGACCAAATAACACAAATATTCTAGTTCAGATATATTTCTTTGATAACATTCCTTGATATACAAACTTCTTGACTGAAAACGAAAAGCTGAGAGGGGTACAGCAGAAGATTTGCCTACTATTAAGAACTAGTACTAGAGAAAAGAATGAGATTTCATTTGTGAGAACGAAATTTTCTTGGGCAAATGTGCGATTTAAAAGCAGGCACGTTACAGTATTGGAAGCTGGTTTGTTTGTTGAAACTATACATTGCGTAGCTACACCACTGGAAAATGTCACAGGGTCATTTTCATCTATTGATTCCTAACGCGATATGAATGTGTTGATTCAACTGCAGGTGAAGCATGGGGTTGGTGTAGAGGACATAGTGAACCATATCTTACAAGCTTGGGAAGTTGCAACAGGCAATAAGAAGCGGTGAAATGTTAATCGAAAACTTTACTTGAACATTATGGATCTTTTGGCTTCTCCAATGCTATATAACATTCAATTTCCCTGTTTCTGGACTAATATAATCTGTCTACTTAATAATGCTTGTTATGTACAAGCACTAAGTATTTGTAAGTTTCTATATTTAATTTGGTTTGTTTGGTTATCATTAATCATATTTACTTCCTTTCGGAAACAACCCCTCTACCTCCACAAGGTAGGGTTAAGGTTTGCGTATACTCCACCTCCCCACACCCCGCTTCTGCTTGTGGTGTGTATGTCTTCTTCTTGTCACTTCAAGGTGGGTATTTCGCCTTTTGTCCAAACTCAATAATTTGTTGGTTGGTTGAGCTTTTAATGTAAGATTTAGACTATTTTCAATCGAAAACTATTCCAACAATGGTACTTCTAAAATACTTTTCAAATCTGTAACGTTTATTTACAAGAAAGGACGTATTCAGTTGGAGTAGTAATTCATTTCAAGAAGTCCTAATAGATAATCCTAAAAACAAAAAAGCTACATACTTAAAATGAAAGATTTAAAGTTTCTATTGCTTGGCTGATAAATAATAATTATGTAAATACATAAATGCAACAATCAAAATCATGAAGCCCCTATAGCTCAGTGGTAGAGCGCCAGTCTTGTAAACTGGAGGTCTGTAGTTCGATCCTGCATGGGGGCAAATTTTATTTTTAAAACACACACAATTTTTTGTTTTTGTTTTTGTATTGTCTTACCCCACCCGCATTGGAGCCCAACTATTTCAGATTCGCACCGTATAGGTTTCTATTTTGGGGAAATCGCTCCTTAAGGATTCTTTCATATTTAGGGCTCGAACCACATTTTTTTGTTTTTGTATTGTCTTACACCACCCATATTGGAGCCCGACTAATTCAGATTCGCACCGTATAGGTTTTCATTTTGGGGGAATCGCTCCTTACTAAGGATTCTTCCATATCCAGGGCTCGAACTTGAGACATCTGGTTAAGAGAGGAGTAGCCTCATTTGTTGCACCACATCCTTTAAAAAAAAAAATTATATAGTCAATAAAGCAAGAATTAAAGTAACAAAATAAACCCTGATAATATATAACAAAGTATTTTTTTGTTTGTTTAAATAGTAAAGAATTAGTTTTAAATATACATAATTAATAAATTTGTAATATATTTTGATAATTTTTGCATAACTAATATATGTTCAATAGGTAGCTAATATTAAGTTTAATGGCTTTTTAGTTGCTTCGTACAAAATTTAGCACATCAAGTAAAATGTCTGATTATCATTTTATATGATTTTACATAAATAAAATATGTATGAGTTAATTATATATTATCTTTTAAAAGTTATATGTTTTATACTGTGTAGATGATAGGATAATAATACAAAAAAATAGGCGAAATAAAAAAAATTATTTATTGATAATTAGGTCAAATATATCTTTAACATTACTAAAATAGATTAAATTTGCTTTTACATTTAAAAATCGAAAATTTCACATAGTTCAATTACAAATTTGACCCTTCTTCCTAATTATAAATTTTGAATTTTCTTTGCATTATCCTTTCTCTCTCTCAGTCACTATCTATACTGCCAACCACTCCTACTTTCTCCTTTGACCACTTATATGATTACTAGATAATGAAAGGCCCATTACAGCCCCAATATTACAGTTTTCTATAAATTTATAATAGAAATTTACTTAGTTTTCGGGGAAAGAAATTATTATGATATTTTCAAATAAACATGATAGGAAAGAACAATAAAATAAGTGATTTTTTAACATCATGTCAAACATATATATTTGAATTAAATAATTAAATTAATGATTTTTTTTCTATTTTTTATAAAAATTATTCAAGATAAAAGATTAAAATTATGAGTGTCAATTTATTAACAATTTTCATAAACTATATGAAGCAATAAAGTCTGATGATCCATCTATAGATTAATTTTGAATATACTTAAAATTTGTTTTATAGATGTTTAACAAACAAAAATAATGACCTACTTGATGAAAATTAGAATGAATTATTTCATTCTTTACAGAGTGATAAAAGATGAAAAAAAAGTTTTGACTTTATGTCTTGTCTTTATGTTCATTAAAATTAGGAGAACAATTTAGTGTAGTAGACAAATAATTTTTTTCTGAAGTAATTTTACTTGATGAATGAATATTTTATCTCAAATAAAGAGGATTTAAGAATATTAACAAAAGTTAACTTCAAAACAAAAAGCGCACATCCGATTGACCATTTAGGGAATTAGTTTGGGTTGACCATTTTTAGATAATTAATTTAGTTTTAAGGTCTATTTGTATATATTTTTTCAAAATTTAAATTAATTTTACTGTGGATCATTCTCACGAATATCCTTATTTGGGGTGGTTTAATTCTTGTTTCTCAATAGTTTATTTAAGTGAAAAGAGTCGTTGGTAAAACTTTTCTTAATATTAAATTATAGGAAGGTCTATGGATAGTTTTTTTTTTTTTTTGGTAAAAGTCTATGGATAGTTAATCTTAATGGATAATAGAAATTTTAACATTTATTTATTTTTATTGGTAAAATGAATAATATAGTTATAATATAATATGTATTGTTTTATTATTTGTATTAATTTAATGAACAGATTGCATATAGTTTCAAATTATGCAATTTTCCGTATTATAATTATGCATTTTTTATTGTCAATTTTTTCCTAGATTTTAATTTACTTCAATTAAATTATCTTTTTGATCACCAATAAGTTATATGATCAAAACATGATTAATGTATTAATTTGTATTTTTCGATTCTTATTAGAGACAAAAGAATAATAATATTAAGTGTTAATTGACAACTTGAAAAATAAAATAGGTGATACACTATAATAATTAAATTTTGATTTGATTAATCTTAAAGAGAAAAACATTCTATTGTCAATGAGATTCAAAGAATTATTTTTTTTTCAATTTTAATTAGGAGGATTTTAAAATTATACTTGAAGAATTATTATTTTAAAATTTAGTGAGCATTCTGAGTTTACTTCATTTGTACATTTTATTTATCATACTGATTTTTTTTTGAAACTTTAAAAACTTTTATTCAAAATTATTTTTATTTATTATTTAATTTTAATTTAATACTAATTTGTTTTTTATCATGTATTATTTTTTTTTAGCAAAATACATCAATTAGATTAGACTTTATTCTATTTTTAGGAAAGATAAAAAAAAATAAAAAATAAAAAGAATGGTCTTGATTGTACTCTACTTTTTACAAGAGATGGGTACCACTTTTTAGAGGTAATAGATTCTTCTAGTAAGTTGCCTATTTTTTGAGAAATTCAAGAACTCCTCTCGTACAACTGCTTTAAATTGAGATTTTTAGTAAATTGACGAAATTGCCCTTGGTCGTCCTCCTTTTCTATTATATAGAAATATACTTGCATAATAATGATAATATCTTATATTGCGTGTTCAAGTCATTTAGTACATTCCCTTCTGCTAGTGAATAAAGCGCTAAAGCAACAGAGTGAGAGAAAGAATAAGGAAAATCGAAGTAAAAATGATGGTATTGGTGATGGTGATAATGACAGGGAGAGAAAAACAGAAATAGAAAAGTTCTTCCAATTCAATTATTGCACAAGCAGAGAATTTTCAATCCAAATAAAAAAGCTAAGAAACTCAATAAACATTAAAAAGGAGGGGGAAATTATCAAAATTAAGAAGTTGAACTATGTTAAAGGTTCAAAATTTTCCTTTGTTTTTTAATCATGAGACATGTGACATTATCGAAGGCTAAGTTTTTACTTTTACAATAACGATATTCAACTTATTTCAGTAATAATGACGAAACATTTAAGCCCAACTATTAACGAAAAACAAATTTAATATTTCATTTCATATAGCTCATAGCCAAATTTGACCACTTGCCCATGGAATTTTTTTTAAGAGAAGAATATTTGTAAGTTTCTCAGAAAGCCCCTATAAAATGTCGTATTTCAAATAAAGTCTCCAAAATTTCCCAAATCCTCAATCCTAACCCAAACGACAGTGAGAAGAAGCGAAGGAACAACTCGAACCATAAAAAAAAACCAATACAGGTGTGTGTGAATTTGTGCAGAGCAAGAAATCAATGGCGGAAGGAGGGGAGAAGAAGGAGAAGAAGAGGGTTGTGGTGGAGTCGTTAGGATGGCTAACGGAATCCACCATCATGCCCAAAAAGATCCGACCAATTGAAGGCGTCGGTGCTTCTTCCATCCTTGAGCTTAAAGCCCAATTATACAAATCTCAAGAAGAGGCCAAACGCGTCGCCAAAGAGACCGTCCACCCTTCTGCTGCTGACCCCAATTATTCCCATCTAGAGATCCATCGTGCCAAGAAGAAGATAACTGCCAAGAACGTTTTTTCGTCTAAGAATCATGGGGTTGATGCCAGAGAGGCCAAGTATAGTTTCTGCTTCCCTTGCCCTATTTTTGCTATTTAATTATAGTATTCGTTTTCAATTTTTCGTGTTCAGGTTCTGGGGTTTCATAATTGAGGTTACAATCTATTTTGGTAAAGTAAGAATGTGTTAATGGTTGTTTGTTAATATCAAAGAGTGGATACTAGCATTCTCTAGCAATCGGATTCTGTGATAAACTAAGATTGGAATTTGGGCTTAGCAGGCTTACATATTGCAATTGTATATGTGATTAAGATTCTGGCTTTGATTGTAGGATTGGAATTGGGAAAGGATGGCGGTTAGTAAGTCATATACTAGAATTTTATAGTTTAATGCAATTGTGGAAATTAGGGCCAATTTTGATTCTTTGTACTGATTGATTATATCATGAGTGAATTTATCTTATTTTGGGATAATTTTCTGGAGTCCTGCATATGTTTAAGCAGTGGGTGGAGGACTGCTCTGGTAGCATATTGGTGTCTTATGAGGCCTGTGAGCCAGAAAACCTCCAAGGATATTGTCTGAACCACTAGAGTAATTGGTGCTCCAGCCCTTTACTGTAGAATCAAATCATGTTTGTATGTGCCAGCAGTCTCCCCGTCGCATATTGCTTTGTCTTTCCATATCAAGTTCCCTCTATACTTTGTATATTTTTTCACCTTTAGGCATGAATGGTGGAGAGTGTTTAATTAAATTAGAGAAGGCACAGCCTTGCAGGAAGAAGTTAGTTTTAATAGAGAAGCCGCAAGCGCGCAACCTTTAGGGATTTTAGGCATATGCCTGACTTTCTATGAGATGTTAATATTATGATTCCACGACAGTGTAATTCATGTCTGTTTTCTCCTTCAATTTAGGGACAAGCTTGAGATGAAAGCAATCAAGGACGGTTCTGTAAGCTATGCTGCCTTAGAACGAAAGGCTAAGTTATATGATAAGCTGGTGAGGGGTGAGCTTTCTGATGGGGAGGAGGAAGAGAAGTACTGTGTTGACTTCTTTCGGAAGGGCCAGGAGCAGGAAGACTCTGAGCAGCTTCAACGGCATGACATTTCTAACACAGAACCAAGAGATGAAGATGCCTCCCTACTATCAGACACAAAAGCTGCAGGACTTGGCCAAGCTGGCACATTCGACCGAAGTGAACATAAGCGCTTTGTAATGTATGTATTGCAAATTATACACCTTTTTGAGCTTAGATGTTTGTATGCTCAGTTGAGTAGAAAAAAAAATCTAGTTCCTGTGTTTTACACTACTTAAGATGTTTGCGAGACTTTGCAGTCACTCATAAGCCTGTCTGTTTCATTTTGTGCATAGCATTATTTGTTGCAAGTACTTTCTGCTTATATTATTTAATAGGTTTAGGAAAATAAAACATCTACTCAATTGTGATGGAAGAATTATGAACCAATCAATGATCAGAATGGTACTTGCTTATGTGCTCAAATGCAGAAAGGCTCCCATAAAAAACAGAGAAAAGAGAAACAGTTAACAATATTCATCAAAATAACATAAATTACAGGACTGGATTTTAAGGATGGGAGTTTGGGTGCCAAAACATCCTAGGTATCTTAGGTTTGTTCTTGATTGTCAGCTTTAAGGAAACCCCTCTCCTCCTTCCTCTTCTTGTCTTTTGTTTATTTTTCCATTCCTTTTCTTGGGTAGTTTGCTTCAGAAGTAACTTTCTTCCCGAGCAAAGAATTTGATCCCTAAACATAAGTTACAAGTGCAGAAAATTATCGTTAATTGTTTGCGAAGAAGTTCATTTACTGCTTTATCAGTCTGTTTTCTCTTACTATATTTAATTTGTTCACAACCTTTATCTACTTACATTTGCATTGCATGTTGCTGTTCTCAGGGAAATTCATAAAGAAGCAAGTCAAGCAAGGGAAAAAGCATCAGAACTCAAGCTACGTAGGCAAGAACAAGTTGCAACACGTCGAGAAAAACTAAAGCAGGCTTATCTCCGCAAGCAGATTGAGAAATTGAAGGCTTCCAAGACAGAGCAAACATAGACCAGAGGAGGTAAACTTCTAACTTCCTATAACAATAACGTTCTTCTTCAGCTTAGGCATCTGAAAGATTGTGAAATTGTTACAGCGTTCCTTAGACTTCATTGTGATTGGTGACACCATGCTATTTGGAAGAATTTCGTCATCTTTTACATTCTGGAGTATTGTGTGTACACCAAATTTTCACCCGAATATAAGCTTCAGGTTTATTGTAGTCTCCAAACAACGCCGGTAGACTAGCATGGGTGTTTTGGGCCTTAATGACCGTGTATTTGTTATTAGTCGAGAAAAAAATTGAAGTGGTATGCAGTCATATTGGCAATTAACTGAGTTTTCGGTGTTGATTTTTTGTTTGTGTTAATGAACTTACTTACAAGTTTTTGAACATATTTGACAATGTATTTTAATTTTTTTTCCCTATTGCATAGGGGAATGTAGTAGGAATTACCTTATGGAAAACTCTCGCTGATACTACTTGTACTAGACTATAAGCCTTGGTGTTCTGGCAATGCATTGAATTCTAGATTGTTGGAATATATGTCAAATATTTTTTAAGGCATGTTTGGAGTTGAGTTTTATAAAATGAGCAAATATTTGTTATGATTACCTTTTTGTATTATTCATGTAATCTACTATTGAGAAATTAGGAGTAAGGTATTGCAGATTCTAGATTAAGCTGCAGAAAGCTGGTTGTTTGGTAAGTCATGTTCTACCAAGAATACTCTTTTTGAGAAGTAAAGTGGTTTTATAAATGGGAAAAGGGTCAAAATACCCCTAAACTATTTGAAAAATACCAAGGACTTAACATGAACTCCCCGTAATCACACCCTTGTTGCTAGGGAGATCCATGTTATGCTGTCTTCTGTGTTATTTAGCTGCTGATATGTGTTTAAAAGATGGAAGAATTCAGCAGCCCTATTCACCTCCCAGTTAGAATTTCTTTTTAAGTTGATACTCCAAACGCCATTCACCTCCTGCAAAAGACTCTTACAGTGTTTGTAGCAACAATCACATTTGGACATCTTCAATTTGGCTGACAGGTGTTTTTGAGGCTGGAAGTTTGAATCTGCACTTCATTTGAACAAAGCCCTGAGGATAGCGAATCCAAGCATCAGCTTTGGTAACTTAATGGCGGGATGCATCTAGCACCTTGAATTTGTGGACTTTCTTAGAAGAAACCAAGTAGTTCAAGTTCCAGTGCAGCTTTATCAATGACTAGAAAGCTCAAATCGCTATAGAGAATGCTCCAATGTTAATTCAAATTGCAGACGATTTCTCTTGTTTCCTTTCATGTGTATCATGTAAAAGCGATTACTTTGTATACTTGGTGGAAAAGAAAATAGTGAATGTCTCGTCTTTTCAGTGAATAGAGAGAAATGAAAACTTTTCGTTATTACAGTGTTTAGACAATTCAACAGATATTACACTGTTGATGAGCAAAAGGATGAGATGTATAGAGTGAAAATGTTCTTCCTGTATGTGTAAGCAACAAAAATTAAAAATACGACTCCACTGGGGATCGAACCCAGAATCTCTGGTTTCGTAGACCAGCGCCTTATCCATTGGGCCATGGAGTCTTAGATGCTACAATAATTTACCTTCCGGTAATTATTTTAGTTCCCCTTGGGCTTTTAAAGTACTTATAATGCTATTTTCAAATAAGTAACATTATATAATATATGATATAAATATAATTAATAATAGGAAGAATTTTAAATTCTTAGTATAGATAGAAGTATGGATATATTCAACTTCGAGTGTATCCTACTTCTAACAATCAAAAAAATTGACATTAATTACATGTAATATTTAGAAAATTGCAAATTAAATTCTATTGCAACCGGAAACTTCCAGAAGATGAGTCGGTGTAAATATATAAGTTGGACCAAAGAAATTACAGCAGCTAGCATTCTGCAAAATCACTTTAACAATTCCAATTCATCTCCGGGATGCCTGAATCTCATTTACGCCGGCGGAGGTCACCGCCGGAGGAGCGGCTTAGAGAGATAGAAGTTCTCATATACTCAGCAGAAGGCCTGAAGAACGTGAAGCACTTGACCAGGATGAGAACCTACGCCGAGGTCTACGTGGAGAAGGACGTCCACGTGGCAAAAACCAAAGTAGCGGAGCACACCGGCGACGGGACCAATCCAATCTGGAACCAGGTAGTGAAGGTGAAATTCCACGAAAAGCTGCCGGAAAATGACATCATGGCGGCGTTAAACGTGGATATGTACGCTCACGGTCACATTCGAGAGAAACTGGTGGGGAGCGCTCGAGTTTTGCTCTCCGATGTGTTGAAGGATACAAAATCGTCGGAGTCGGAGATGCTGGAGAATAATCCGATCCAGTTTATGACAGTGTTAGTTTGGAGACCTTCTGGTAGGCCACAAGGTGTGCTCAACCTGTGGGTCCCACCTACGGGGAGGTTCCTGGTTCCGTTGAATTCGTTGTCGTTTAGTTTGAGGGGAAGAGACGGTGAAGAGGATCAGGTGGTAACGCTGGAAACGCCGGCAGCGGAGAGTAGAAGTGAGGTGTAAGGCTCTTGCAGCTCTGCATGGATGCCATTTGGATGTAATAAACTTGTTTTTATTTGTTAGTTAAAAATTGTAATTTTGACAAAGCACATATGCCCAATGCTAAAATTGACGCTCCATTCAAAATCTTATAAATTAGGAATAAAAAATAATTTTATATTAAGGTAATTTGTTTTTAGCCTAACTCACAATAATTTAATTTAACATCATCTTCAAGTTAGCTTAATATGTATGCCTTCGTTTCGTTTTAAAATAAGTGATATATTTTTAATTTAGCACACTCTTTAATAAGTTATTGACTTCTAGAATAAAGAGTGCTCTTCTAATAACTTACTCTAATCAAAAGAAAAAATATTGCGTTTTGGTTACAGAAACAAATGTGGATGATTCACAAGAAATTGGGAAAAAGGAAGTAATAATGAGAGGAATTTATTAGTGTTTGAATTGCAGATGTACTTATAAATGAGATGTGTGACAGTAGATTGGATTGAGGAGGTGTACAATTTACTTGTTTTGGTAAAGGCAAGAATTTAAACATCAGACTTCTACTCTTCTACATCAAGGAAGTCTAAGGAAAATAATCGAAAGATCATTTGATAGAATGTATCATAGAATTATTATATATATATGTATGTATTATTATGATATTACTTAAAATTTATTTAATTTGTTTGGTAATGCTCTATTCAGTATTATAGAAGGTATAAGTATAAGTAATATAATATTAACTAAGATACTAGCAATGCATGAATAAGTCTAGGTAAATACAGAACTATTCTTAATATATCAAACAAAATAATGAATATGAAATAATTTTAGAATAATTAATATAGTCTATGTAGGACAGTAATATTTACAGCTATTATATATAATCTCCTTTTACCAAAACCGAAGAGAAAAACATTCAAGAGGACAAATAAATATTATTTTTTACACTAGTTTCATTTTGAGATCCTACACATATTAAACAAAGACATATATATAGTGTGCAACAGTTTCACAGAAAATAGATATTTTCCTAATGACGACACTTGGTCAGTTGTAATTATATAATTATAAAAGAAAATAATTATATTCCAATTTAGTTTCTAATTTTAGAAATTGGAATCTCCACATGCTCATTTTTTTTGGTATAATATGTTTATTTCCTTATAATTTTTGTAACATGCTTATAATTTTCTATGCATATTGTAACCCCTGTTTTTTTTTATTACTCTCTGTGAATTGTGATATATGTTTTAATGTTATTATATGACACTTTTCTTTCATTTTGTTTTCCATAGAAGAAAATATTTTTCATTTTTCAAGAACTATCTAATCTTAGCTGCCATATAAATTCATTCTTTTATAAGGAGAGAGAAAATAAAAAGATAACTTTGCAGAATGCCTAGTATGTCAAATTATTCTTTGACTTTTTAAATTCAGAATCTAATCAAACATATACATACAAAACTAATATTGAATAGTTAGTTTATCCACTATGTTGCAATTGCATTCTTATTTCTTGATCCATGTCCTAGAAATATGATTGAACTTTATGACATTTTACAATTTAAATGGAAAAAAATAACCTTCTATGTATAAGAATAAAATTCTCACAAGAGATATAACATAAAACCAAAAAACTGTATAAATAGGCCATAAACCAATTTTACCCTGTTTTTGTAGTTGCTATAGTAGGCCATAAACCAAATTCAATTAAAATATATCTATAAGGGGAAAGTCTACAATTTACTCATTTATTATACAAAATACAAAATTTAAATAACAATTCGTTATATTTTGAGACATTTCATATTTTTGTAATTTTTAAATCATCACATATATTGACCGGAAATATTTCAAGAAAAATGTTCAAATTCAACCCTCTACTTTTGATTGTTTCTTAAAATTCCCCATGGTTAAACTTCAAGTAATTAGAGCTTATGTCGCTTATGTCAAGTAAGACTAATGATAAATATGTTACGCCCTCTGTTCATTTTTACTTGTCTACTATATTATTTTGAGATGTCCAATTTATAAAATTAATAAATAATTTATCATTTTGTGTCTATTTTATCCTTCTATTAAATATTAGTATTCATTATACAATGTGTAGATGACTATTATTTAATAGGAATTATTTAGTGCTTCTTAATTTCTGGTTCAAGTAGGACGACAACTATTATTAAACGGAGTGAAACCAAAAAATGAAAATATTGATTATAATAAATGATCAGTATCTTTGACCTTTTCCCATTGCAAAAAGAAAGCACGAGTGAACTCCAAAATTGGTAAACGGGGAATAAAAGGAAATTTGATCTTTAATTTTTGTTCTTGTACCTAATTAGAAACTAAAGTCATACCGATCATAACTTAAAAATATTATGATACAAAAACATATATTTATATCCCGCAATTTTTAATTTTTGGACCAACACAAAATAAGGTTACAACTGTCAATATAAAACATATAATGCTGATTGGGCCCTCGTAGTTAACAAAGAAAAAAAAATACATATAAGACCCATTTGGATCTGTTTCCGTCGTGCCTACCCCTCAAAAATACACTTCGAGTTTTTTCGGCCATGAGAATAAGGAAGCATGCCAAAATTTCCCCACTCCACTATGCTTCTTCCGTATTTCTCCAACAGCAAGGTGCCCTTTTACAGCCCCACGTTTGTCAGCTCAATCAGTCTCCATGGGATGTTATCACATTCCCCGCTGAAGATTTACAAAACGATTATATTATTAACCACCACACACTTCCTCCTCCTCCGGCACCGGCGCCGTCTTCTTCTTCTTACAAGGTCAGTTCAATAAATCTCATTTATTCTTCCTTTCCTTTTTCCAGATCTATAGAATAACGCTCATTTCGTTTCTTCAATGTCTCTTCGGTTTTTGGTTTTTTTAGGGTTTTTTATCATCACTAGGGTTAATGAAAACAATCTCAATCTCAACATTTATGTTGTGTATTTAGCTTTCTTCGTTCAATTTATTTCACTGTTTCGCCCTATTTCCCAATGCACGGCTTGTATTCTTTTGAGAAATAAAGTTTTTTTAAAAAAAATTATTTCTGATTTGCTTTGCTGCGCGCAGTTGGATGGATATGATAGTTGCGCTGTAAATGGGACCTTTTATGATTCTGAACTGAGGTAACTTTTACATCAATTTGTTTTTACTGGCTAGCTACCAGTATCTTCAGAAAACGATAATTAGAAGTTCGATTCAAAATTTTGGCGTAATAGTTGGGTATAGATATAGACCGATTCAAAATTTCATTGAGTTAGCATTGTTTTTTTTCTAGTAGCATCACGTCAATGAAGCTGGAGGTGAATGATAGTGAGAGGAAAGAGATGGATTATTCGGAGAATAATAATATAGTCGCTGATGTTCCTGCTGATTCCGGCAATTTCGACAAGGATGGAAATGCTAATATTACAACAATGTGCGTGAAGAATGACGGAAAGGGATGGCAATGCAGTAGAGAATCGAAAAGAGGGCATGATTTATGTGAACACCATTTTGCTCAAGTACTGAAGAAGCAATACAGTAGTAGCAACAACGAATCAGCTCATTCTACTACTACTAGTACTGCTGCTGGGGCTGTGGCGGCAGCTGAGACGACTCAGAGTTGTCGCGGCCGCCCACATCGTCCTAAGAAATCGTCGAGTTCCGAATTTTACTATTATTCGGGTTTTGGTCCTTTATGGGGCAAAAAAAGAGGTTCGTCGTCGACTGGGAAGTCTACTCAGGGAGCACAATCTTCATCTTCTCAAATGGATAATGAAGGATTTGACTATATTGAAGACGACGAAGGCGATAATTATGATGATGAAGTTGCAAACTGTAAAGTGAAGATCAAAAGAACCCGTAAGCCCATCAAAGCTAGGTCACTCAAATCTTTAATGTGAAATTCTCAACAACAATATCTAGCTATAACATGTTTTGTGATATTTATATTATCGTAGAATATTGTAACTTTTTTTTGTAATAGGGACTTTTTAGGTTATGTTAGATTATTTTGGTTTCATGTTTGTAATGTCCTACTCTAGTCTACTCTAGGTGAGTACATATACTAGCTTTAATTTGCTTCAGTGTACTGTAGCCTTGGCATGTGTGGCGATGTTTTTTTTTTTTTTTTTATATAAATGTAAACTTTGTGTTACGCTGAACAAATCTAAATAGGGATAGAACTGTAATTTCCATTGTCGTTTTTGAATTGTATTCCAAGTGCACGGCGTGCGGCGGTAATATGGTAAGTATATGAGTTCTTCTTCATCACGTGTATCAGGTAAAAGAATGCAGAAAATATATTTTCTTTGAATGTAGTACTCCAAAAAAGAGATTTATTAAATTCATCGTCTAAAATAATTCTTAGATATTTGTGTGGGTTATAAATCATATCATAAGGGTAAAATGAAAATTTTAGAGTTTAATTATTTTAAAATGATATTCTTTTTTAAATAAGACTAAAAAGGAAATGTGTTATGTAAAATGAGACGGAGGATAAATTAATCTTTGTTCCCACCTTATGTAAACTCTATAGTACTCCTTTTGTCTTATTTTATGTGTCACCCCTTTCTTTTTAATTCGTTCAAAAAAGAATGTTACATTACTATAATTAGAAATAATTTACTCTTTTCATTCAACAATAATTGTCAATTATACTATTTTGGAATGTCCAACAATACTTGTTCACTTTATGAAATCAATAAATAATTTTATACTTAGTTCATAATTTACCATTATCATTAATTATAATCACTTTTATATTACATTTTAAAAACATTGTATTTATTATATTCAAAATATGATATAGTAAAATTCTCTTCTGTTTATAGTTTCTTAAAATGTGTGCAAAATTAATAGCGGAGAAATTTTGTTGGATAGAGGAAGTAAATTTAAAATTTCCCTTTCACCCTTAGTGAAATGATTCTCAACCACATAAATATCTAAGGATTGTTTTAGACCATATGTTTCAAAATTCTGTATCAAATTAAAGAATGTCACATAAAATGAGACGAAAGAAGTACTATTTATAGTCAACACTATTTTTTTCAAACAATTCTGATTATTTATTAGTTAAATGTGTGTTTTTTTCTTAATTACCATGTAAGGTTTACTGGGAAAAAGAATAAATGAATTCACATAAAAAATTACAGTAAATAACTTGACTTGTAACACGAGAACTGTAAATTAAATGGAGTTCACAAAAATATTTTGTAATTTTCTTTGGTTTAATTACATTGAAAGTATTGCTAATACTTATTTTAATGTGTAGTTGGATTGACCTTCTCACTTCGTTGACCAAATAAAAATAAGGATAAAAATGTAATTTCAATTCTTAGTAATCAATATTGTCTCAACGAATATATCATACGATGTTTGTTTTATAGGGATAATGGTCTGAAAAATACCCCAACTTTGGTCGAATTTGCTGTTGTGATACTAAACTTTCATGAGGACCTATTACCTCCTAGACTTATTTAATATCGTATTTTAAACATATATATTTGCCCACGTGGACATAAAAAATAATTACCAAAAATTATAAATAGTAATATGTCCACGTGGGCATATATATACCTTTAAAATATACTATTAAATAGTTTAGGGGGTAAAAAATACGGTATTAAATAGTCTAGGGAGGTAATAGGTCCTCATGAAAGTTTAGTATCGCAACAGCAAATTCGATCAAAGTTGAGATATTTTTCAGATCTTTATCCCTGTTTTATATTCAATGAATAAAAATTTATGATTTTAACATTATGAAAGAAGGAAGGATGAATAGGATTAGCAAGAACAATCATTTTCATTATGAAAAATGACCAATCCACTGTTTATGATTTCACCACACCCATTTAATTAAACTTGTTGCGCTAAATAAAAACATAACAAAATCATCCCGAATCAAAAATACTAAGTACCCAAATATACAAATTAAAACACTAATTGTAAGCCTTTTATTTTATGTTTTGAATGCAGTTAATTTCTTTTACTTCCAACTTCTTTTGATCTCTATATATACTTTTTAAAAACATTATTATATTTCCTACATTTAAAGAGACATTACAAAATAGATAAACCTGAGAATAATTGGTAACTAATATAAATTAGCCACATTATGGGTAGCTTGTATATTGTATATAAGGATCGAATTGTCCATTTTCGTTAAAGTATCTTAATTAGAAGTTGGAGCAAAAACGAAGAGAACAGAATATTAGCAGTAAATTTCTTAGTATTATAGTTAAAACGTAAAATTCTATATACAAGTATAAGTTGTGTATTTATTAATTTGATGTAAATATTAAGGGTGTTTTAAAATGTAATATTTGAAAATAAAAGATGCGTGAGTTTGTTTCAAATTAAATATCTTAAACAACACAATTTCTCTGGGTCAAATAATATAAAAATTCATTGATGATACATCGTATATGACGTTATTGTTCATATTATATATTCGGTCTCAAAGTTTTAACAAACACAAAAGTAGAGCCGTCAATATGAGCTAGGCCCGTAGGGCCGGTCTGACCTAACCCGTGATTTGATAGGACTGAGATACGATTTTTTGAGCCCATTTAAGAAAAGGGCTTTTAGCCCGGCCTGAATAAGCATGTCGATTTGTGTGGCTTGAGAAATATGGATAGAGCCGGCTTGTGGGCTAAATAAAAATTAATTAAAATATAAAAATAAAATAGAGTATTAAAAGTAACAAGAGTCTAAACTCAAAATCTGTTAAAAGTTTGAAATATTACAATTTAAATATAAATTATGTTTATAAAATATGTACTACATAAAATAAAATTTTCCTAAAATTTCTAGGGAATCACTGGATAGGCCGTAACCTATGGAATGTTGTCATAGTTTTTTGTGTTTTATTATGATCATTGGAAAACAATTAGGTTAATATTTCTATTTAACTATTTATGCTTTTACTTGAAATCAAACTTAATAAATATTATAAAGACAATTTTATTTGTGGATTTGATTAACAAGTAGTAACACTAACACCATGTAATATTGTCTTGTCGATATTTATGATAATATTTTTAAATTATAATTTAATTTAAAAAATTATAAAGAAAGTATACTTTTAAAAAAAAGAGGGCTGACCCGGCAAATCCCGTAGCCCACGTATTTGTGGGTTTGGCCGATCATTTTCTGGCCCACACAAAAAATGGGCTAGCCCGGCCTGACCCGTAAAATTTCAAAGCCTGTATGGATTAGCCCGATTGAGGTGGACCAGCCCATATCGACAGCTCTACACAAAAGTATTGAAACAAAAGGTAAATAATTAAAGACTTTACTTACTTCCTATCTTATATACTTTCTATACAATTAAAACCCTCCTCACTAAGAAACGAAACATTAGCTTGAAAATGAAAACGAACTTAGTATGTGAAGTTAATATGAATTTTGGATTCTAATCTTTTTAAAATCATTAGATTCTAAATTAATAAACTGTACAAACTTGATTAATAAATTTCTAATACAAAATCTGTTAAAGTTTGAATTTGAGTTCAATCGAATCCGTAGCTGACACTCTAGCTCCGCCCCTGTTTGTAACAACACAAAATTTGAGGGTGGATGTGTAGTATGAGATTGAAAGTTAAATAGCACTATTATTAATCCATCTAGTGATTTAAATTTTTTCGTAAAACATGTTTTTATTTTACTCAAAGATGTCCAACAAAAGATTTCATTAAAAAGTTTAAAATTTATTTCGCCTAGCTCTTGTAGCTCAGTTGGTTAGAGCACCCGTTTAGTAAGCGGGAGGTCTTGAGTTCGACTCTCAACAAGAGCATTTTGTTTTGTTGTATTCATTTTTCTTCGAATCGTGTGGATGTGTCTTTAATTACACACTTAGGTTCATGTTCTCTGGTTAGAGATGGAAGGGACATGTCATGATTTTAATTACACACTTAGTAGGCTCATGTTTTCTGGTTAGGGATGGCAACGAAGTGGGGTGCATGGTTGATTATGTGAAGTAGTACATGTTTTAGTTTATGCAGGGCGGGTTCAATTCATATTCTTAAAAATTCACAAGACCCTTAGGGTTCATTTTGAAAGACATAACTGATTGTATATGAAAACTGCTTGCTGAATTTGGTACCTTTATAGTCTATTAGTAATGGACCAATTAACTGATAATTGTACATCTGTTTATATACTTTGAACAAGTACCATGATTAATCTTTGATCTTTCTTAGCTATGTTCTAAGCACATTAATAATTATTCCCTCTGTTCCAATTTATATGGCACTATGTGATGACACAAAATTTAGAAATAAAGAAAGCTTTTCTCAAGTTTATAGTGTGTCCCCTGATTATTTTTTTTGTCACTTCCATTGCCATCACATGAAAAGGTATAATCTCAAAAAATCTCTGAATCAATTGCTAGCTGCCCTTTTCTCCTTTCTTTATACTCTGGATTGTCATGGTTACATCTTTTTTCTACAATTTTAAAATCCCTCGTTTGAAGCCACTTTCTCCAGCTTTGATACGATAATAGCTTCTCTGTAAAGATGTAATGCTATCAGATTGAAAGATACAAATTGACATGGTAACTTGTTGCACAAAGTTTAAGTACTGAAGAAATGATATTTTTTTAGAGATATTGGGTTCATTATAGTCAACTGTTTTATGTTTTTAACCGTATAGCTGAAATAAACAACCAAGTGTGGAGAACATTTTACTCTCAAGAAACATTGCAACTAAGTGCTCTTTCCTCCAAATATAAAACAACAAAATACACACGGAAGGGAAAAAGAAAACAGAGATATCAAAGAAATGGAACAAAATATCAAAGCATAAGAAAATTCACAACCGGGAGACTTTTGTTATTCAGAGCTTCAACTTTTTTTTAGGGATTACCCCCAGAGTGTTTCGATATCTCTGAGGCTTCAATGAATCAAATCAACACATGTACCCTAGATAAACAGATTTTGCTTTTCTTATGTGGACTGCAGTTGACTAACCTTTCAAGGTGCCAACAATTTGTACGAAGGATGGAAAACTGTAGTACATATTACTACATCAGAATCATCACCAATGGCATCGGCTAGTTTAGCTGATCCCTCTGTCAAATCCGCTTTCACCTGAGAAGATGTATTTTAGCTTTTTCTTAGCCTAAATCAAAAGAGCTAAACTGGGACTGATGCAGAGTTCAAGTAGCAGTGTAGCACCAAGTGCTATACATGTTGATAATGAATTTAGACTAATTTTTTCTATAACTGTGATGTCTAGGCCAGTTTGCACACACCTCAGCTAATTCTACAAGGTATCTACTACAATAACTATAGACTTAAGTAGGCTAAAGTTAGAAGGTTTAAGATGTAGCTATATCAAAAACTGAAATTTCATATAGAAAAGGTATAAGGTTTTCATTTTATCTCCAAAGCTAAATCACAGATTCAACAGCTTGAGTAAAACATGACCAGGCAAGACATGTAAGAAGTATAAGCGATTAAGTGGGTAAGAACGAATACCTATTCGTAGCTTTATTGCATCATCTGCACGCTGAAACTATCATTACCAAAACTTACTTTCGACAAATCCAGGTAGTATGAAACATTACAAGGAAGATCTGGATCATTTTCATGTATCAGCCAGTAGGTAGAAGTGCTACCATATCATTGCCAGAATGAAAAAGGCTGTAACCAGGATCTTTTGGTAACCTTCTAGTTTGAACCACATCTCGTTCCTTCCAAGCGCTATCCCATAAGCCAGCTGCAGAATACATACTTGCTAGAACCACATAGCCAACTGCATTTGTAGGTTCGATATTGCACAAATGCCTGGCTGCTACCTTCCCAAGGTCCATATTGCCATATATGCTACATGCCCCAAGAACTGAACCCCAAAGAGAGGCACTAGGTTTTATATTCATCCTGCAAATCAAATCATATGATTCATTCAAACAGCCGTTGCGTGCGAAAATGTCCACTAGGCAAGAGTAATGCTCATCTCTTGGAACAAATTTATATTTTCTAACCATCTCACTGAAACATTCCCATCCTTCAGCAGTCAACCCATTATGGCTACAGGCAAACAGGAGAGACAAGAATGTTATATCATTTGGCTCAAAGCCTTCACACTCCATCTTCTTAAAATATGAAACTGCATCGACTCCTCGACCATGCACACCATATGCAGAGATCATTGACGTCCATGATATTACATTTCTCTCCGTCATGTGCTGAAAAACATTGTTGGCATCTTCAATTTCTCCTGTTTTTGCATACATATCAACCAAAACATTACTCATCGCCACATCAAGAGTGCTTTGATATTTGATCACAATAGCATGCAGTTGTCTCCCCAAAGACAGTGACGCTGTATTGGCACATATGTTGATCATAGAGCATAAAATTATGCTATCGATTTCCCTATGATTCCGATGTAATTGACAAAAGATTTCTAGGCACTCATTTATATTTTTACCTTCACGTGCGTATCCAGTAATTAGCGCAGTGCAGGAAATCCTGTCTTTGTTCTGCATCTTCTTATATATATAACTTGCATTGGCCAGGTTTCCACATTTCACATAGGCATCAACTAATGCTCCACTAATAATACTATACGACCCATAACCAAATCGAATGATACATCCATGTATCATACTGATGTTTGCTAGTCCACCACACTTGCCACCTCCTACAGATGCTTTGAGAACACTTCCCAATGTGAAGCAATCGGGGAGTATACCTTGTCTGAACATCCAACGGAACAGCAGAAATGCATCAATGTTATAACCTCGAAAAGCATATCCAGAAATCATGACATTCCAAGAAACCAAATCCCTCTCTGCCATTGACTCAAAAACACAAAATGCATCCTCCATGTCTCCGCACTTAGAATTAAAATCAACCAACGCACTCTGTACATATAAATTATCCACAAACCTGCTCTTCTGAATGCACCCTTGTATTTGTTTTCCTAAATTTATACATGACACACTAGTGCATGCCCTCAAAACGCTTCCATAAGTAAACTGATTTGCACTCACCCCTTCCCTACGCATAGCAACAAACACATTAAGGGCTTCTTGTGAATCCCCATTCTGAGAGTACCCAGATAAAAGCGCAGTCCATGAAACCACATTCCTTTCAGGCAATTTATCAAACATCTTGCGGGCGGACACCATGTCACCAGACATTGTGTAGAAAATGATCAACTTGGTCCCCAAATGAACATTTGAAGGAAACCCAGTAGTTATAAGATGGGAGTGAACCAAACGACCCTGCTTATGAGCCTTTAGGTCAATGCAAAGCTGAATTATATTTGAGTAAATAGTATAATCTGCTTCAATGGGGTTGTCAAAAGCAAGCCTTAGAGCTTCCGTAAGCCTTTTGGCATTACAGAGTGATTCAATGGATGATTTCAAGGGAGGGAATTGAGAGGTTAGGCTAAGCCAGTTCACTACATTTCTATACGTTCTTTTCATCATTCTTTTGCATTTTTCCTTTCTCTACAGAAAAACCGAATGGTGAAGGAGAAGAGATAGAAATAGCCTTCTTTTCAAGCTTTCTGCTACGAAGTTCATTGAAGATAAACAGATAAATCTTTCACCAAATTTCAACAAACTGTTGCTTAACCAATTGAAGAAGTTTGTTGCTTCTGGTAAGCTAAGAGCTCCTACAAGCTTCCATCGGTTCGATCTGCAGCTTCTAAGCCTGTTTCTGCTACTGCCCCGGCGAAGAAGAATCCAGCTGCAGCTGCTAAGCCTAAAGCAGGGCAAAGCCCAAGCCCACTTGCCCAAACAAAACTGAGAACTGACAAAGTAAGGGTTTCAACTTTAAGAAAAGATTTTGGTGCCAGCCACCGTAGCAATCGCCGGCGCAGCCATCTCTACCCGAATTCCGAGTAGCTCGACACTTGGGCTCAAGCTCTCTACCAAATTAAAGTGAGTAATTACACAATTGCAGTGCCCTCTTTTTTTTATAAGCTATTTTGTTTTTTACAAAGATTTTGATCTGAGCAGTCTTTTTCATTAGTTCATCATCAATTCTGAAATCATAAAATTTAAATCCATTTCTTCGGAATTTTTTCTTTTTTGATCTTCCATCTGGTGCTTGATATCCACATGAATGGGATTAAAACACTCTTTAGCAAAGACGACTTCATATTCGAGGGACTTAAATTCAATTTGAAAACTTTGATTAAGAATGAACTAGTATTTACCAAATTGAACGAAAAAATGACTTTTGCTCCTTAGCTAGAGAAGTCATTTTTTAATAAAAAAAATAGAAAGAAGAACTATTTTGCCAGGAAACTTTTTTAGTGGAGAAAACATTTTCAAAGCAGTAAAGATAGGAAATTAAGAAGAAGATCATTCCAAACATACTCAGAATTAGTGCAAATATGAAAAGTGGAATTAGATATAACCCTTGCAATGAAGAAAGAAAAATGCTTCTTTTAAATGCATGTTTCTAAACTGGTAGTAGTTACATTTTCCTCTTGCTTAGTAGAAAACAGTTGCAGAAAAGTTTCAAAAAAAAAAAAAAGAAGACAGAATCAATCTGCATTGTCACTTGTGCTCCCCTCTGCCAGTGGCTTGAACAAATATGCTGCTCTTATTACCTGTGCATTTGACCTGATCTTTCTAATGATATTTTCACGCTCCAGTTCTTGGATCCATTCTTCATAATCTTTACTGGGATGTCCAACCACAATATTGGGAATGTGTCGGAGTTTGTGCAAATCTGAAACTTGAAGCTTAGCAATAAATGCTTCAGGCATTTCTCGAATTTCCAGCTTCTCAAGGTTAGTCAATGATATCAACTCTTCAGGGAGCCTCCTCAACGAGTAGCATTTGAAGATTTGCAGGCATTTGAGTCCTGCCAGTGCACCTTTCCCTAGCTTCATCTCTTGCATAGACATTAGTTGATCCATCCTGAAAAACTTGAGTCCACGAAACCCATTCTCTGATATTGTTATACTGTCATCTTGCTGATCATATCGGTCAAAAGCTTTAACTAGTTTTAGAACTGACAAGTTGGTTAACTTCTCCAACACTTGAATTGAATCTGGATGGAGCTTCGAGTTCACCAAAGTCAGCTGACAAAGATTAGGTGGAAATAGACAAGGATGAACTGGTATTGATGCTAAGTCTCCCTTCAACTTAAGCTTCACAACATGACTCAGCTTAGGCAAACCAGCAACCAAAGATATTTGCAAGCTATTGGTTAGTTCCAAGCATAAGGATTGAAGGCTCTCAAGCTCAGCAAGTGAATCACATAATTGATCCATGTCTAGGTTATTAGCACTTTCAATGAGTAAACCAATTTTTTGGAGATTAGTCATTCTTGTCAGGTTTTCATGGTGCATCCAGTGATGAACAGGTATGCTGCCTAGAGTTTGGAGATTTTTAGGTAGGTCAATCTTCAATAGGCTGGGGGAATTTATGTAACCAAGTAGATGCCGTAAATTCTCTAACTTCCACAAGACATTAGGAACTTCCACAGAATAATACCCAGACATGGGCATATCTATTGTTTCCAAGTTTTGCAAACTGCTTATCGAATGGGGAAGCTTCTTTATGTGTGTCTTCCATCCTATGCCTAAGTACTTCAAGGAACATAGTTTCCCAATACTATCTGAGATCACATTTAAACCAGGAGAGTCTATGTATAGCACTTTGAGAAGTTTGAAACTACTTGTACAAATACAATTTAGGTTAACTACTTTAGCAGAGGAATCAAAGGATAGAAGGGATCTTATATACGATTTTGAATTTCCCAAATATTCGTACCTCTCGAGTGGAGAATAAAGGACATGATGCCGAGATTCAGAGAGGGATATAGATGGATTATCTACCTCGAGAAACATTTCTTCCTTGGCCTGCATTATACAAAAGTCTCGTAGGAGATCATGGAGCCGGCAACTTTTAACTCTGTCATCTGCTCTAACTTGGATTACTTGCAACATATTTCTGCCAATGAGATCATCTAGATAATCCTCCACAATGTCCTCTAACTTTTGTTCTCCATTTTGATGAATAAGACCATGGGCAATCCATATGTGCATGAGTTGCCTCACAAGGATGTCTTTGCCTTTTTGGAGAAGGCCTAAGTAGAGAAAGCAAGATTTTAAATGGGGAGGTAAGTCTTTATAACTCAATGCCAAAATTCCTGATACACCATAAGTTTGACTTCTAACGAGGTGTAAATCAAGGTTTCGTTGTACTCTCTGCCACTCACTTCTTTGCTTCTTCTTCCCAGCCAAGAGGCCTCCAATGACAGTGATTGCCAGTGGCAAACCGTCACATTTTTCCAGAATCTCTTTCCCCACGCCCACCAAGTCATGTGGAAACTCTCTATCCTCGGCAACTGCTTTCTTGAGAAAGAGTTCCCAGCTCTCCTCTTCACTCAATACTTTATGTTCATAGAGTGTAGTATGAGCATCTGCATGCAAGGCAACCTCCTTACTGCGGCTGGTAAGTAGCAATCTACTTGACTTACCATTGTCAGGAAATGACCTAACAATGAGATCCCATGCTTCTGTGGTCCAGATGTCATCAAGAACAATGAGATAACATGTATCTTCCAAACACCTCTGGAGCATTTCCTCCAAACCAGCCTCTGACAATTTGTCCATTGTATCCACTATCTTCACTTTATCTTCTTCTGGACTTGCCAGTTGTAAAATGAGTTCCTTGATGATCTTCATGGGCTTATAATCTTGGGATACATAAAGCCATGCCCGAGTGTCAAACATGTCTCTGATTTGAGTTTGGTTATAAACTTCCTTGGCAAGAGTCGTCTTGCCAACGCCCCCCATACCAACAATTGAAGCAACACGAAGCCATTTGTCCTCCTTCAGAAGGATTGACACGACAGAATTCACATGCTTCTCTAGACCAACAGTATCTTTATTGGCAACCAAGGGTGAGGAGCGTCTTAGTTCATGCATCTTCTCACGTGTTGTGCTTGACCCTTCCCCATCTCCGAGACCTTGAATATGCCTGATGCCATATCTTTCACGACTATTGGATATTTCAAGTATTCTGGTCTGAATTGATTCAATCTCTTTCCCTACTTTGTAAAGACCGTATAGTTTCTTAGGATAGAAGACACACTTGATGAAGAAACTTTGACGTTTTTGGGACTCAACTTGGTGGATGAATATTTCAATCACATCCTCAGCATGGTAGGCAACTGCTCTGATTTCAGATACCCAATTGCGGATTGTTGCGGCCTCATCTTCCTCTTGCTTCATATCTGCATCTTTCAGGAAACACTTCATGCGGACAAGCTCGTTTCGCACTTCTTCAACTCCTCGTCGGACGTTTTTCAGGAAAACAATTTTTCTCTGGAAAAGATCTATAAGCCGCTCTGCAACATAGGAAACTGCTGCTTCAGCCATCTCTGTTTTTGTTTTCTCTCTCTCTTTGTTCTTATTTCTTGTTGCTTGTCTCCTTAAATTTCTGAATTAATGTCTTATATAACTATGTGATTCTAGGGATAGATTGCTGCAATATGCTACAATGATACTTTACTTGATCATCATCTTCATAAAGAAGGATGAAACTTTACTTGATCAGTAATCATAGCATCTTCTTTCTCTACTTTATCAGCTGGTTTCTTTGTTTTTGTGTTTTCGTGTCCTACAGTTCAAACCTTAGAACTGAACTTGTGTGAGCCCAAATTTTGGATGGAATAGATAAATTTCAGACATTCAATTGTTTATGTGTCAAATGGGGGAAAATATTAGAAAACTGAAAGCAACTATGATGGATTACGCAAAGTTTCAATTGTTGTAAGACATCATTTGCTACAAACTTGAAGTATAGAATTTATGCCTTGTGGTAATTATATACCAACATGACTCTTTAATTTCTTGAAGAACTCAAACATCCATTGATTTGACTGTGTTCAACTAATTGTATATGGAGGCGAAGTCTTCCGGTTTAAGATTAATGTTACCTTTTTAATTTTATGTGTAATGCTTTACTTTTTATGAAAGTTAAAAGCACTTCTTCTAATATATCTTCAGAACCCAAGGACAAGGGTGTGCCGAGTAAGTTGATGAATTGAGTGGAGAATCATGAAGTCGGGATATTTGTACAACAGAAAATTTAATTGTTCAGTGATGAAAGATGCATTGGAAAAAGGAGATAATGAGTACTTAGGGACACAAACATTTAAGGGAGAGCAAGGTAACAATTGAAGATGTTGAGACACAACTAGTATAATAAAACAATAGAATTTACTCTCCATATTTTTCAGAGGAAATAACAGTAAAAAGACTGTTCTTCCCGGATGAAATTAAATTCTTATTAGATATCAAGATTCCAACAAATAATCTCAAGATTACAAATTTTTCTAGATAGTCTTTAGTTTAATAGTTCTCGTTTGACTATTTTGTAAAGGAATGGTAGTCCTTGTTTTATGGAATGTCTCGTAAGAAAAGTACAATAGTACTTTTGAAAAGCTTAGGTAGATATATGCGTATGCCTTTTGTAATCTGAAATGTATGAAAAAGCTTCTGGTTAACCTTAAGTTTTCCAAATGCCAACATAAAGAAGCAATGACAGCCATTGGAATAGGAACAAACAAAGTAACTCCAGCATTCTCCATGGGAGGTGAAGGTGCAGGTGCTTCTTCTCCTGCAGCCAAGACTCCAACATTTCCAAAAGCTAAAAGAACCATTAGGCAAATGGTGAAAACCATAGCAAACTTCTTGGAACCCTCCATTTCTTTTTCTTCTTTTTCACTTCAAGAAATTCGAAAAAAATGAGAAAATTAAACAATGAAAAACTAGAATCTTATTGAAAGTGACTTTGTGAGTAGTGTGTTTGAAAAGGGTAGCAAGAGGACTGGCTTTTATAGAGAAAATTAAATTAAGTTGATTGTCCAACTATCTTATTACAGAAAATAGAAACACTTACACCATGTTTGGATCGTTGTTACCCGTTGTATTGTATTGTTAGTTTACATACAATGTTTGTTTTAATTGTT